TGGCTTGTTGAAGAACAGTTGAAACAGCAGCTTGAAGACAATAGTCTGCAAGGATAAGATACTACCCTCTAAGTACATTAAGTATAAGGCCATTGTATGATGTGTCCCAATTAGGAAAGATGTGTTAATCTGGAAACCAAGGCATAAAAATAAGAATGGTCCCAATCCAAATGGAAGACTTTTAGATGTCTAGCCTCTGAAGGATCAAGAGATCTCCAGCATTTGACCCTCCATGCTCTTGCATATGTTATTTCCTCTGTTTCAATAATTTCCTATTCCCACTTAAACACTTTTCCCACCAGTCTATTTGGAATAAAACTTAGATATTAGTCCTTCCATGAAGTCTCATTAATCCCAACACTGGACTAGATGCCCTTCTAGGTGTCCTTAGCACTGGGCCTCTCCTGTCCAGCCTGGCCCATGCACCCTTCATTCCTCCCATTATACAGTTTTTCCTACCCAAGCGGAAGTGTTTCTCCACGTCAGTTCCCTAGGGCCTACAAACACGTAAGTGTAATGGGGAGAGGTATTTTCTGTGTCCTGTGTAGTGTTTTTGGCTTTGGATTGAAACTTGGCATAGTCACTTGAAATTTATTCCATAATATCCACTTGCTTTTGCTCAAATCTCTTTTATTAATGGATCCTTCTCTGTTCTGGGCCTCAGGCACTCTTATCAGTTTCTTTAAATTGAGCCCCTGATCTTGGTTAGCAGTGAACCATACTTATAAGGCCATGGGTGCTAAAACAATAGACGAGTTTAAATTTCACTTCTTCTATTTGTCAGCCATGTGATTTTTGTCAATTGATTTAGCTATTTTACACTCCACTTTCCTTGCTTGTATGGTGGGTTTAATAATGGTACCTGTCTCACAAGGCCTAAATGAGGTTATAGAAGTAAAGGGCATTGCATATAGTAGATACTCAAAAATATTAACTGTTGCTACATTGTAGTTCTACTCTCTCCTGTGGGGTCATGTTTTAAGGCCTTCTCAGTGGATGCATGAAACCTCAGATAGTCCTGAACCCTATTAGTACTGTGTCTTTTCCTATACATATTGCCTGTACTAAAGCTTAATCTATAATTTATGCACAATAAGAGATTAACAACAACTAATAATGAAATAGGATGATTACAGCAACATATTATAATAAAGATTATTTAAAACATATTGGTTTTTTATGTCTGGACTTTTCCTTTTAACATTTTTAGTCTGTAGCTGACCGAATGGTAAAACTTTCCAGCCATGGAAAACTTTATTAAGGGAACTACAATACTAAGGTCTTTCAAGTACTTCTCTTTTAATTTGTGACCTAGCATTGTACTGGGGTTTCAGACTCAACTCTTCTATTTCCTGGCTTTGTGACTTTGAGCACATCACTTAACCTTTCTGACCTTTAGTTTGTTATGAGCATAAGAGGCACAGAAATGCCACCTTGGGTGCTGTTGTGGAGACAAGAGATCTGTGTGAAAGTACATGCACACCATGGAGTACTATGCAGGATAAAAAAAGCAAATTGTAGCTTTGCGCAATATCTCAGGTAAATACTGAAGGTAAGAAACAACAACAGAACACATGCTTTTGCTTTAAAGGTTCATCCAAAGGGTGGCATGTTTTAGGATTACTCCTTTAATACTGTATAATATTCTATTGTGAATGCATATGTATATACCACAAACTATTTATGCATGTTGATAAACACTTGAGTTATTTCCACCTTTTCACTATCATGAGTGATGCTTCTATGAACGTGGATCTATAAATATGTTTGAGTCTCTGGTTTTAGTACTCTTGTATATATGCCTAGGAATGGAATTTTTGATACTCTCTGCTTTTAAGCAAAAGGAATGGACTTTCTCCCTTTACCAAAACTTTTGTATAATTTGCACCTAATGAGAAGGATAAATATTGAAGTGTTGGATGAAGCAAGGAAGTGACAGAGCCTTGGCTATTCAAAACAGAAGTGAGAGGCAAGTGGAAGTCAGACTTCCTTGGGTCTCATCTCGGTTCCTCTCTCCATGCCCCAGCATGCACTGTGGCTCTCTGTGTCCAGAAACCACTGTGGCATGGGAATAGAAACCTCCTCGTTAGCTGGGAAGAGAACAGAAAAGAGCAAGTGGGCCTGCCAGAGACCTTAGAATCATCTCAGCAAATAAAAACGAACAAACTAGGGGGTAAGAGGATAATTTAAAACTAGAAAACAAATTTCCATTGGCCTTCCTCCCTGTCTAGGTAAGTGGAAGGAGGTGAAAGGGGAGGGAGTCAGGGAAGAGAAGGAATGGGAAGAGAGAAGGGGCTGATGGAGAAAGTGAAGAAGGTAGAAGCTGAAGAGGCAGAAAGAACAAAGAGCAAGAAAGTCCAGAAGGCATAGTATTTTCCGGCTGGGGCGGGGGAAGAAAACGGAAGTGGACATCCCCGGACAACTGCTGCCGAATTCCAGAGAAAATAGCACCCCGTCCGTCTCAGTGACGAGCACTGTATTTTATGAGGCCTGGAAGCATAAACGCAGTGGCACTGACAGAAACAGGCGTATTTAAATCAGTGAAACAGAACAGTCCTCAGCCTGACCCTACTGGAGCACATTCCCACCTAATATATTCTTGACAGTGCTGACTTTTATCAAGACGTCTGGGCCTACTGTGAAATGAATGTGTATCGTCCGCTCTTTATCACCCATTACCTCATGAAAATAATTGTCTTAATTTCATTGTTAAAGTGATTAATAGGGTAAGTGTTAAAGGAAATTAATACTCAAAAGGAAGAATAACTGTAGCTGAAAAATAACTCCTCTAAATTGGTCTGGCGGTAAAGTTAGGGATTTTGCAGTTAATGAGCCTTAGAGAGTTAAATACAGACTCATCCAGGAGAGTAGCCAACTATGAGAGAGGGAGAGCACGATGGGAAGGGCGAGAGCACAGAGAGAGGAAGGGAGAGTTGTCTGTGCATCTGTGCCCACTCACTGTGAGCGCAAGGAGGGGAGGACAGTCCTGCAGGCTTCTCTGATCCGGCAGAGCCCAGGATAGTGCCTAACTCCTGCATGGTTCTAGGAGCTCTGGGCTCCGTCCAGCTTGGTGTCCATGTGAGCTCCATCAGTAAGAGATGGCAGTGGCTCTTGCCAAACGAGGTTCTAGACTGAAGCTGCACTATTAAAAACAGAAGCAGAAACAGCCAGGAGCAGATTGCTTCGCTCCCTCTCTGAGGTGAATAAGGAAAGCCAGCATGCTCTTTTCCTATGTCCAGCCATGCTCTTTCTACCCCAGTGGCTGAGACCTTGAGTCCTGTGACCAGGCAAGTGAAAAGATGGCCCTAGAGCAGAACTGGTAGCTGGTGCCCAGAGGGTTACTAGTCTGGATCAGGTATCCCATCCCTAGGGAGTTTACAGATGGAGAATTGTGATTTCTTTTGACAAAAGTCTCATTCTTTCATTATTCCATGTTTATTAAACCCCTGGGATATAGCAGTCTACTGTAACAATTAAGTATAGAAAGACAAAAGGACTTGGCTCTTTAACTCAAGGCCTTTCCAGTCTAATGCATACACACACACACACACACACACACACACACACACACACACACACCAAATAATTACGACACATGCCTTGTCTGTTTAATGCTAACTCTCTTGGAAATTATTTATGTATCTTTTTCTCATATTCTTAAAGTTCCCTCTTGACTAATAAAAACTTCTCAAAAGACCTTTCTCTGTGTGTTTGCTTCTAGGAGAAGGTAATGATCTGCAGTGTGTGCTACTTATTCTGTGTTGTTCTTCCACCTGTTACTTTATGTCCCTGAAAATGACTGCGATGCTTGGTGGATGACTAAAGGTACCCAGTGATGGTGCCCAGTTCAGCTGCAGAGAAATAAGGCCATCTTTGTGGGGTGTAAAAATGGGAACTCTACTGGGTCCAGGTACCTTCTGGGGAAGGAGAAAGAGAAGCAGGAGAAAGACAAGAGGTCCTTGACATTAGGAAGGGCATCATCAATATCATGGCAATGATGGGGCCTCTGGCCAAAACTTGTATGAAAGAAAATGGAAGAAACTCTGGCCCACCACACGTCATGACATTAGAGCCTAGTGGAGAACTGATTAGCACTCAGTCCCTGGAGGCGTCTGCACTGCAGCAGTTTGTGGAGGGCCCCGGCCACTGCTTCAGGCGGAGCCACACTCAACCTCCAGCTCTGCCTCACATCTGCTCTTACGGGCTGATTTTGGCATTGGCCTTTGGAGGGCTGGGAGTTCAGTGCCCACTTCAGCTTCATTTTTGAGGTTTTGTAGTGCTGCTGGAATCATATAGATGACTAACCTAGAAAGTCAGCAAACGCCGGCACCCCCAGGCCCACGCCTGTCTCCTGCAACCCACTGGCCACCTCTCAGAGGCTTGGGAACTCACTCTCTTCTTCCTCAATAACATCTTCCTGGACAGCCGGCCCCTCAGCAGTACCTCCCAGGGCTGTATGCCAGGCTGGCGCTCCAGCCTTCTCAGCCCGCCGGGCTTGGCCTGGATGGGCAGCTTAAACTGACACCAAAAACCAGTACTGATAGGGGAGGCCCTGGAGGAGCTTTGCTCAGGTGGAGATGGAGCCAGCAGGTGCTGATGCTGAGAGACAATGCTGAAGCTGTGGGGTCTCTCTGCCACATCCAGGAAAATGAATATCCAAGATAGATACTTGAGTAAGTTAAACCTGGCATTCTCATCATGCTTTTGAGGTCTGGACACTTAGATCTGCGGTGCTAGGGTTATAGCTGATGGTTTGCAAAGGTAAAGCGAAGGGAGGAAGACAACCAGAACTCATGATTCGCCACCACACAATGAAAACCAAAGGTCCTGGTGCCAGGCCAGTCTCAGGCACATGCTGACTCCTTTCTCAGGAAAACTCACTCACCCACAACACTGGAACTTCAGAACAACTGCAGACTCTTGGCTCTTGACTTTCCTATGCAATACTGTGACTGATAAACATTTATTGGGAATTGGGACTTGACTTTCTTGAGGTTTTCCAATGTGCCCAAGGCATGAACCAGGCTCAGATATAGACCAGAAGCCATGCTGTGGTAATAGGGTTGGTTTGGCCCTGGCTGATGAGAGAGTACCAACTCTCCATTTACCAGATCAGGGACAGTGGGTCTTACACAAACTGGTCCAGGGAGACCCACTGCAGGTTTGACCTGAAACCATATGAACGCACCGACACATGTGCAGTCCATAACATCCTCAGTCAGTGCCTTTCCCTCCTTAGGATGTCAATGCCATCTTGGCCAGTCTACCCAGCATGGCACACCATGCCAAGTAGCCACTGTTCTCCCTTTTCGGCAAGACTGTGACCACTGGGAAACTGGGCCAGCTGCTTTTCCAAGTTTGCCCAATGTTCTTGCAGTGGACCACATGGCTGTTTCCTGCCCCATAAAAAACACTGAGGAATCAAGGAATACTACTTTTCCTCAGTGGCCAGATAATCTCAAAAATGGCCATTTTGGGCCAGGGATTTAGCTCAGTGGCTCTGCCATCTGCTTCACAAGTGCAAGGTCCCAAGTTTGATCCCCAGCACCAAAAAAATAAAAAAATAAAACTAAAAAAATAAAAATCAGTACACACCTTAAAAAATGACCATTCTGCAGACATCCTGCAGACCTGGCTGTCACTGGAAGAGGCTGTGCTAAAGGGAGATGCTAACCTGCTTAAGGGACTCAGCTACTTGCCTGCCTTCTCCCTGCACTCACCCTGATCACCCAGGCCCTGAGCAGCATTAAAAGCCAGAGCACACAAAGGGAAGACTGCAGGACAGAAAGGAACCAGTCCTTATTCTGATTTATCATGCAGTCTATTCTGCGAACCCAAGACTACGCCCCAGCATTGGGCCTAAATCCAGGCAACCTCTCCCTTGACTGTTCTGCCACCAAAATGATGTCTCCTGGGCACTCCACCTATGAACCCTGCAAGGGGCTGACTTCCTACACACTGCTCTGGTTTACACCCTACTCTCTGGGGCACATCCCCTTAGTACTACCATAGATGTTAGTGTGAAGAAAATGGCTGATGAACACAATGGTAACTTAAGTTCGTTATTTATGTGGGGAGATTTAGTCATTTATCATACTGGTCTGTTTGAAGCCCTTCTGTATGTCCTTCTCAATAATGCCAAAAACTGCCCCTGTGTGGTATCTTGTGCTGCAATAAAACCAACACTTACACCAAATGACAGCATGAACCCACCATCCTCTAGATAGACTGAGTCCAGAAGTCTGAGCTGTGTTGAAGGTGTTCAGCTGGGCTGTGACCAAACAATACCATACCTGGTGCCACTTCCTAGCACCCAGCAGTTGTGAACATAAGTGTGCGTAAATGAATATCTGACCTCAGAATGCTTGAGTTACTTGTAACAGATTGTTTTGAAGTGGATAACATATTTGCTCATTGAAGTAAAATTGTTTTGCAACAAAAAATAAAATAAAATAAAGTTAGCACACCAAGGTCAGAGATGCAAAGAGGTATTCCACTAAGACTTGGTTCTATTTAAACATGGCCTTTAAAATATGAGTACAGAGGCAATCAAATATATGAAGAGTTAAGCAAAGTCCTATGTGCTTTATACATTGAAATTTGTTGAGGTATATAATTATTATTAAAAGATTAAAATGGTGCAACAGCTCATGACCATTCCTGAAAGCCATTACTTTCCTATACAAAAACATGATTCAAAACCTTCAAAGAGTTAAATGGAAAATAAAACACACAGTATGTTAGCTAGATAACTTCAGGAAGAACCTTCTTTCCTTTATGAGGCAAGAAATATTTGTAAAACTTTAAATAACAATTCAAGCTGAATATAGAGATTAGATTACATCATAATTCTTATCCAGAATTGTTTGCAGTTTTAGTTTTCATCACATTAATCAAAATGACCTTTAAAACTTGTTTTTAGGGTTTTATTTTTAAATTCCATTTAGGTCATAAGTCATTCCTATTTGCAAATTCTTCATGTTTACAAGTTTGCATGAAGAATATGTCAATCCTAGTATTCTGTGAAAAAAATCTCAAAAATCATGTGCAACAGTATCCGTGATAAACCATCTTCTGTCGAGATATAATAAAAAATATAAGCATAAAAGGAAAAAATGCATTGGAAACAACTGAGGCATGCTAAATATGAATACTCTGTTCTGCCATTCACAACAACCAGTTGAAAATAAGCACCCTTCAGAAGCTCGAGGACTGGTGGGATCAGACAGCTCCTTGCTCCTGAATGATAATGTATGAAACATAACAAGTAAAAATTTTTAGTGATGCAATTGTAATAATGATTATTGCTGATAACATTTCAGACTTGTTCTTGAATTCTAGACACTCATGTCATAATAGTGATATTTGGTTCTGGCCCCATGTTGACTTTAACATTTGGGGTTTAGTCTAAACATGAGTCGCGTTTGTGTGAGAGACGTTCCAACAGGCATGATGGTAATGTGAGTGATGTTGTCCTGAGGGTCTGGGAGGGGCAGGGAAGGATTCATCTAGAAGCTGAAATGAGACCAGAGGATGGATTCAAAATTGACTGGGGAACAAACTAGGGTAGCACAATGTAGGAAGAGAGAACATTAAAAAGTTTTGAATGCCTTTTGAATGTCAGGCACTGCTTTGGTATTTTCCATACTTTATTTTCTTTAATCCTGAACCAACAGGATGTAGTAGATACTCTTTTCTCCCCCTCACATAAGAGCCGAAGGATTCAGAGAAGGGAATCCAATGCCTCCTACTGCTGCAAGAGTGGCTCCAGAAGACTCTGCCAGCCTCATGGGATTGCCTGAGAATGCCCCCAGCCCTGCACCCTGATCTCTCCTGTTATCTAGGTTGGCTAACCAAAAGAGCCTGCCTTGGGGCTGAAGAAGTTGCTGAGGGAGCCCTGACTTTATTTGTCAGAGGCCTGATTCCTTGAAGGCCCAGCATTTGTGGCCTTATTTCTTACTCCCTCCCTTGTTTCCAACATCACATAAGAGCCATCCCTCAAGGCTGCCATTTGCTTTTCTTGGGCAGGCCCAGGACAGAGATGTCTCAGACATCAAACAGAGCCTCTAGTTTGCTTTGTGGATAGCTCTCTGGACCTGCCCAGCAGGTTATCCTACAATGCCCTTCTCTAATGGCCTGCTTCTCCTCGGAAGCATCTTTTTTTTTTTTTTTTGAGGTTTTTCTTTTCTCTCTTCATCTTTCTTGAGGAAGGCCTGCTGCCTGGCACAGCAATTGTGTTTGGAAATGAGCCTCCTGGGCTGGTGAATAAATTGCATTTTATCCCTCCCTGTCACTTCTGGTTGGGAGAGCACCAGGAGATGAAAGCAGAGACTTCAAAAGGGTTTCTTTTGACACAGAGCCGACTTTCTCATTTCCAATCCCTGCCAGCTATACTAAATTTGACACTCTGGCAGCCCTGCAGGAACTACACCTCAGCTATCCTGGAGAATCTTCTTGGCCTCCCCAGTGCAGAGCCACTTGGAAGACAGGCTTTCAGAGCACTTGGTGGCCACTGTCTTCAGTGAATCAGCAGAAAAAGCAGGGTTGTATTTTTAGCAAAACTCTGCTTGTGGTAGGTGACTCAGTCCTTCTCCTAGGGAGAAGCTTTCCCCAGTGTGGAGTAGCTCTGTCTGGAGTAAGTAATTGAGCAGTTCCACCTGTGCTGTAATCTCAACCCATATGCAGTGACATCTTGTGGCATTCATTTGAGGAATACTAGAACTCTGACAGTGTGGTTCCCAGTTATACTCCTCTCCCACACTGCTCAGGGCTTGTTTTTGTGCTCAACACTGAGCACTCTCTTGTGTGAAGACCCACAGTCTGTTCTTCCCCTTTACAGGCATGATGGATCCAGGTTGAGACACTGGAAAATCAGTCACCCACTACTGGCCCGTACTGGGTAGGTAGGAAAAAGTCTCCCTGAATCCAGGCTCTTCAGGACAAAGCCTTCTCCATCATCCTTGTCTGAAGGGACTAAGCAATCTGGAGAACTCTGAAAAGCAAGCTGACCTCTGAAATAGGCCATGTTTCCACAAACCTGCCCTAATCTGACGAAACCACCAGACTCTATCCTCAGATTGGTTTCCACTACTTTCAGGAGCAGCTCAGGCCTGATGAAATCTCTGATACTTGACTATATCCAGAACTTGGAAATAGGTTGGGCACAGAGGTTAAAAATATATTGTAGCCTGAAGGCGGGATGTGCAGGGTTCAACAGCTTGACATTAGAGTTAGAGAACTGAGAGATCAAGCTTTGATTCTGCATTTACTACCTGGAGCTGAGTGGTATGGAAGCTTTACTTCAGTATCCACATATAGAAATAAGGAAAATAATGCCACCTATCTCATAGCTCTTAAGAAAGTTGAATGGCATCACTTGTGCAAAGTGTCCAACCCAATACCTAGCAGTGGTTAGTTGTATTGTTCCCAGTGCACTCAGGTGAGAGGGAAACTACATAGACCTTATGGAGTGAGAGATCTTGCTTATGCCCTACTTCAATCTGTTGATAGCCATATATGATCCTGAGCAAGTTACTTTCCACAAAAAATGACTACCACCACCAGTAGCTACCATTTATTAAGTGCTTATTAGGTGTCTGTAGTACTAGCTCATTATTTTTCACAAGGGAATAAGTCAGTTGCTTAAGGTTTGTGCTCGAAAAAGTAGAAATGAAACAAAATAAGCTTTATTCACTTAGTCTATGCTTACACACACTGTTCTCCTAGTCATACAATGCCCTCTAACCCCTCTGAGCCTTAGTTTTCCCAGATATAAAGTGCTAATTTCTACTACTTAGGTTTAAGATGAGAAATAAAGAAGATAATACATATAAGACCTTCAACAAAATAAAAGGTATCTTCCCACTCTAATCACACCAAGAAGAAGCATTTTATGTTAACAATTCCAAGGTATATATCCTGGGAGGGGGAGGAGAATTTACAGGTCACTGACTCCAACCTCCTTCAACTATGATAGAGGAGAGATAGCTGACAGGGCCAACATGGCCTGGCTGATTTCCCAGAGAGGAAAGAACAGATGTTCCAGAAGAAAAAGATATCCGACGAGGACTTGAGGACTGGAAGGATGTTAGGTGCCAGGGCTTCCAGCAGACTCACCCTTG